GTTGTTTTGTACATTGAGGAGTTGGAGATGAGTAGTGAATGCCCGTGGTGAATTTCCATCGTCGGCTCCGAAAAGAATACACCCAAGATGTTGCGTGAAGAGCTGACTCACATGTCCTGCGTCCGAAGAAAAAAAGGGGGGGGGGGGGGGGGGCATTGTGCGACAGAGTTTCCGAAAGATCAACAGGATCGGGACCAATGGCTGCCTGTAAAACATATACGGGCACCTCGGAAAGCGGACGCTACCTGATTTATATGCTACTTGCATTTTGTGGAAAGGAATTACATTGAGTTCGCAGGTGTCAAAAAGGAAATCCCATACCATTTAATTCAGCTAAGTGTCGTCCACAACATGTTTTTTTTTTTTTTTCTTGTTTTCTTTAGTGATAATTGTAAAAAAAAAAAAGATATGTAAACATCGGGAAATGTTTGAAAAAAAAAAAGGTTCCACGGGGGATCGAACCCGGTCCTACCGCGTGAGAAGTGGACGTCTTTCCCACTGAGTTACTGGAGCGTTTTCTTTTTTCCGAAAGATTTTTTTATTAAAAGTATGTCTATTCACAAAGTTTTAAAATGATCACATTGGTTGCCATACACTTATCATGTCAGTGAGCACTGTTTGACAGGCGAGGACCGCGATTCCCACACAAGTTCAAAATGTATCTCGCTCAATCATTTCTTTGTAGCGTCACATGCACCCGTGCACCCCGTAGCCACTAGCGCAGTAGCCCGGGAATCCTCGTTTACCACTAAGCCTTTAGAGCGCGGTTATGCACACGCGTTCCAAAAAGCGACCAACATTCAAGCCCTTGTTGTTCCGTCGCCTCAAGAAGGCTGCTCACGTACAGAAAGCCGTCGCAGAAGTGTTGCCAGGTGGGCTTGGATCCCTCTCGGACCCAGGGGCGGGTCCAGACCTCCATTTTAGGGGGGGGCGGTTCCTCGGTGTAAAACGGCGGGGGGGGGGGGGGGGGGAGAGAGGGGGAGTGTTTATATTTTTTGTGGAGTTATCGTTTTTACTAAACTCTGATAACATAATATAGATCTTGAGAGCTTTTGTATCGGTTTACCTGTCGGGGATGAACTCTTTGAATTAAAACCTTTCGGGTGACCACGCTAGAGGTAAGTATCTCGAAAATTGTGGTGACACTATCCTTTCTGAAATTTGGGTTTCAGACCGACACTACGTGAGCACTCGATTTAGGGCAGCTTAAAGACATTGCCTTGGCAGACATTCTGGTTGGAGCTAGTGCTCAACTGCTGCGGCAACAGGAAGTGCGGCTTAAATCAATGGAGCGAGTACATTGCAAAGCGACAAAAATGGCCCGGCGGCTTCGACGCTGCTCGCGGCGTCAAACACTGTTGACGCAGCAAGCGAAACGAACGCTGCCAGGCAAGTTCGTTGGTTGTTCGCCGTATATTTGGAATGTCCAGAGCGCAGCACATGCAGCATTGCCAATAAGAAACTCGTGTTTTCACGTGTTCTGGATGCCACTCGAGAGAACGAAAGCGAATATTTGTTGAATGTTTTTGAAAGCATGTTGCAGTTCGGCAACTATATAACTTTTAAACTTAGACAAGATCTTAAACCACCAATGGATCCTTCCAAATTATATTCAATTGCACTTTGCCTGGATATTTTCTGTGTGAAAGGAACACTTACTGGTTTCTGGGTATTTAGCTCATTTGTCAGGGTCGAGAGGACAGGTGCAAAGATATGATAGAGAAGAGCGGTTGTAAGGTCGGCGAATCTCAACTGGGCTAAAGGCCGATCACGACTGCAGCATGGATGTTTGGGAGTCGGTGTTCACTCGAACGGGCAGAGGCACTGTCTATTTAATTTATGTATAGCCGCATCTTTGGAAGGGCTCGTTTTCCCCAAGTCCGTTCGACACACACATATTCGCTGCTGCAAAGCCGCGCGAAAGCTCTGCCGTCAATCCACAGAAGCCGCGTTTAACTGGAAAAGACAGCGCCAAGGGGAGACAAGGGGTAGCGGGCGCCTTTCCTAAAATATGTCCCGCCACCCTAAGTTGAAACGGCATTGTATACAAATAAATGCCTACGGCGTCGGCTTGAGGACCCCGTGTAAGCAGCCTCCAGCCTTTAGAGTGCTCGTACCGTTTATCTTTTTTTTATTAGCTTTTCGCCACGAGAAGTCGTACCGCAGGCAGTATGAAGCACATTAGAGGGAACATCTCCACCTTCTGGCGCTCATCGGCTTCTTTCTGTATTCCGCGCTGCGGCGCTGATCCTCAGTGAGGGATGGAGGCAAGGACGAAAGCGGGCTTATGTTTAAGCCAAGGTCATGGGAAGTCCGGAGCGTCTTCAGGAGACGCTCAGACCCAGACTACACTGTACCCAAAGTATTTGCTTCCTCTCTCAGTTGAGAAGAAAAGCTATTTGACACTTGGTTGTACAAGCTGCATCCCCCCCCCCCCCCCCTCCTGGAACGTCTCCTCCCGGTACGTCCCCTCCGCACTTCCCTCGGCAATGAGCACACCGTGCCAATACGGTACCTTTAGTGAGCCCGCGGGTGACAGCATCTCAAAGCAAGCCAAAAAAGACATGCCAAAAGACAAGCCCAGAACCACGAAGAAACCATCAAACGAAAAGTGATGAAAAGGCGGCCGCCAGAGAGGAAGGATAATCCGCTACCCTTGAGGAAGGCTGCTTGACGTCTGCGTTTGGGAGCTTTCAGGGCACAAATTTTTTGCAGACAACCCCCAAAGAGAGAGAGGGAGACAGAGAGAGAGAGAGAAAGGGGACTAGATATGCTGAAGGTATTTTCCCCTCCTGCTCGACGTGCTGGCCTTGTTTGGAACTGTGCCTGCAATCGAGGACCATGATATTTGGTGCGCCTCCCCACTGTCTCTCCACTTCGAAACTCCTGGCGCCATCCCTGTCGGGAAGACGGACCGTGACCTTGACGGAGATAAACCCCACTTTGGAAGCGCCCAGCAGGCGCGTCCACCCACTGTGTTTTAATCTTTTGTTTCTCGCGTCGATTGCTTACGTTTTTTCTTCGAGCTGACGAAGAACCCCGGGGGGGGGGGGGGTGCCTGGCGAGGCGTTTGGGGGGGGGGGGGGCGATCGCCCCCACCGCCCCCCCTCCCCCTTAAATCCGCCACTGCTCGGACCTCCAAGTGATCCGTCCTCGACCGCCACAGCGCATATAGACCGAGGAGTGCTAGCAGCTCCCATGCCCTACTCTGTGCACTGTCGCCGAAAAGCAGAAATTTCGCGCTTTTCCACTCTACGTAAAGATCTATCAGCAGCACTGCTCGAAGCTACTGGAGCGCCTCTTTACTGGTCGATCTCTTTCCTTAGTAATAATTCAGTCGGTAAACTGTAAGTTGGAAAGTTTGCTGCCGATTTTCCTTTAGCAAAAGCACTCCTGGGTCGAAGTCGGGAAGCACCACGCATTGGCGACATTCGCACCTAGTAAAGAAATCGTACGCGTGCATATTCAACTCGAAGCGATGTCCTCAGCCACGAGAAGGGTGCGACGGCTCGGCGACGCCTTCGTGCAAATCGGCTTGGTGGTCGGGCGTGTCGTACGGGATGAATACGAATTCTTTTGATCAGTCCGAAACTCTTTTAAAGGTAGACAGAATTCGCCAGTACCGCGAACGACAGTTTTGAAACAGAGGTCCCACGCCCATCGTCCGCTGCCATCGCCGTCCCCGCGAGTCCCACGATACGCGAAACGACGAACGCACAGAATGCTTCCAAATGTCTGTGGAACTTTTTTTTTTTTTTTTTTTTTCAATCAACGTATTTGCAGCTTTTTAGAAGCCACAAAAAATGGGTTTCGTATTTTTTTCTATTTTTGATATTGAGTGTGTGCCTTCAGTGACCCACGACTGATTAAATTTGGTGGTCGCATCGATACCTTAGAAAACGGGTAAATCAGCTTCTCCACCGGAACCCTGCGCGACCCCCACCGACGTCACAGTGCACGTCACTCGGAAGGTGAAGGAGTTAAGAGGTGCCGAAAACCTCTTTGTCCATTTTTAAAATAAAAACTAAAACTTCCAGGAAAATGCGTTTCTTTTTTGTTCTTTACTTCAGAAAGGTCGAGACACCAAATCCCAAATTATTTAAGCAAAGCACTGACATTGTTGCACAGTTCCTTTAAAGGAATACTACAACGAAATTTCGGCGCCTATTTTTTTTTGGTCTACATGTGTTCAAAGGAGCATTATCACATCTTGTTAAAAAAAGTCCCAAAAAGGAATTTTAAAACGAATTAAAGAATTAGCAAACAGCACCTGGTGAATGTCCCCAACGCCTCGTTTGTAATGCCCGTATAGGAACGAACCTTGACAGGTAGTGACGATATCTGTCTCGCCTCCAGCCGCCACGAGAGAAGAGGGGTAAGAGAAACCCCCCCCCCTTCCCCAGAATCCCTTTTGTATGTCCCCGAAGTCGCTATTGTTCCCCTTAATGATTCAAGAAGATTAACCTGTCACTCAAAATTCGTACAAAAGCAGCTGCTTCGGTGCCTGGAACTACGCCATCCTCTTGACGTTAGCCCTGCCGTAGCTTTACTCGTTCCAAGACGAATTACGTCACAATTGCGTTGGACGTCATGTGCTCTCCGCCAGCCGTTCTCGGAGCACTTGCCAGAGTGGGCCGTTTATAACGAAAAATACAGCCACCAGGCTCAAAATACAACCGTGAGATTGTCATTTACAGATATTGTGAATCATATTCAACCTATTTTTGAACACAATGGGTATATTTCAAATTTCGTTGAAGTACCCCTTTAAGGTGCCCGGCTGACGCACTGCAGGTTCTAGTACTCCTCCCAGTCCGGGTAAATCAGCTTCTGTCAAAAATTGTTCCATGACAATTGCCATCCATCTTATCTGTAGCACCCCCCGACTGACGTTCTAGTTACTTACGTTTTCCAACGAGGTTCTACCGTACATCTCATTGTTTATTACTCCTTCCATACCCTCAATTAAATGATTGTCAACAGGCAGAAAGAAACACAACTGCCAGGCATCAAATTTAATGTGCACCAAGCAAGAATTTTATATACAAGGATGTAGGACACAAATGCAAAGTGTTTGAAAAGCGGATATTTACAGACAACCACCTCTGACTGGTCGCTTATGAACCCAGAACTAAACACGAAGTATGCCAACACAAAAACCAACAATTCCCTAGACACAGTCGACGAACAAGTCGTTGGTACCGCTGATAGCTTCGTGTTAATAGAAACCGGCCAAGTGCACTGTCACACACGCCTCAGTTACGCCCACTCCCCTCGTCGTACTCGGCCAGCACCCTTTGCGTCGCACGTAGACGTGCCGCATAACATGTAGGAAGAATGTGGACAAAGCTATGATGAGAAGATGCAGCGCTTCATTCTGTTGGGATGCATGCTTAAAAGCTACTCTAGCACTGTTATACAAAGTGGTGGGAAGATTGGGAGAGAAAGTCTACCGACATGCGATGTCGTCTACGGCAAGTGTGCGCAAGCATCCAAAAACCTGTTGGGTTTGTGGGCAAGGTCTTTGTTTCAATGGCCGTTGGGGGGAGTAGCGTTTGATGAAGAATATGAATGAAAGGTCATCGTTATCATCCTTTGACAAGCTTAACAGTCGTTTGGAAAATTGTGAAGGTGCCCATTGCTAATCAAGCAATCTCTGAGCTGATTGTGGCACGTTTCACAACCACAGCTGTGATCTTGTCTATCAATGCCGGCAAGCCTGCCTACACCAGCGGGCGATGAAACAGACCTACCACTACGTCGAAGAATGCCTTTCAGACCTGTTTAACAATTACCGGACGCAGGTATTCTTTCTGCTATGTAATGCAAGCTACATGAGATAGTGTGAAAATGGGGACATGTCAACGATGCAACCATCTACATTGATTGATGATAGCCTGATAAGCATGCTACAGCTTTTGTCCCTGTTGAATAGAAAGTGCCTCAAAAACTCTGTGCAGAAAAAAAATTAAACAAACGGACATCGTAAGTGTGTCATCCTGGAAAGCTTCAAATGTAGACAAATTTAAGTGAACGTGCTCTGGTACACCACTGGGTTGCCCAGGGCTGATTGAACATGAAAAACCTACTTGGAAAATGAAATTTTAACGCGTTTTGGCAAATTTATAAAAAAATAAAACCAAGCAGCAAATTAGAGGTAGAGGCTATATACTTTTGGGGAGATGTCTATCGAGAAAAAAGCAAAAATGTGCTAGATTCAGTGTGAACTTTGTCCATTAGGCAGAGTTGTCACCTGGATGCAGCGAAGCCGACACTTCTATGAAGGGGCAAGTATGCATCATTACACATGCACATCCTGCAGAATGTCCCAAGATACAATGAGTAGTACCACAAAAAGAAAAAAAAGCTTAAAGTCCTTCTTGTCAGACACTCTGGATGATCATAAAATTAAAAAAAGAAATTCCCCAACGCATACAAAGAACTACCGACATCCAGAGGAGGAATCAAACAAAAACAAAAGATCCCAAGAGTACCTATCACTTGCATAATGTAAAGTGGTTCCAAGTATTCTCCAATGTACTTGCAACACCAGGGTGCCCGTTAGTAGAATTCTTCTGGAATGCAATTTAGGGGAGAGAGTGAGAAGAGAGAAGACCAAGGATGTCTGGATGTTTCACCGAGACAAGTCTCGCTCGTTTGTAGCGCGGTGCCGTTTCAGCGATAACACAAGGACTTTGTCCAGCCGCGGCTAATCTGATGCAGCATTTACAGGGGCTGGGTGTTCCATGGGAAGCCTCAGCCTGAGCTCAGATAAAATGATGAGTGAAGAAAAATAAAGGAAAACCCCCCTTAGTCTCGCAAAACAGAAAGAAAATTGCTCATCAGTCTGGCTCTATCCAAAGAGAGCAGGAACAATACAAATCCCAGGCAGCTAACAAAAACACAACTGGTGTACAAGACAAGCATGGCCATAAAAATTTAAATCCCATTTAAAAAGAAATAATGCAGAATACGTCAGAGGCAAACAAAAAAAAAAAGGTGACCAATCAACAGCTTGCGATGGAACAAAATTAGACGAAGCGAGGAACACAATAGAATCGTTCCTCATTCCACCGTCGATGACATTCACAGTCCAATGGTCTCCATCTGTTATGGAGGCGATGCGCAGGGTCACCTAGAGAGGGTAAGGTACCTCCTCGGTAACTCGCGCTAACCCAGAGCATTACTTTCGAGAACTCTAGGTAACTCTCGTAAGCTCCGGGGTAACTCTTGGCGACTTTGGGGTCGCCGAAAGCAACCCAGTCACCGAGGGGCACCCGTGGGCAACTCCCGGCTTCCCAAAGTGACCCAGAAACACAGAGGGGTAACCATGGCCAACTCCCAGGAACTCTGGGCCACCCAAAGTGACCCAGAATTGCTGAGGGGCAACTGTGGGCAACCCGAAGTGACCCGGAGTTGCCGAGGGGCAACTCTGGGTAACTCTCGGTTAGCCAGAGTGACTCTAGGTAACCCAAAGTCCCCGAGAGGCAGACCCGCGACACGCGACGGGGACAAGGGGCCACAGGGACGAGGCGCAGGGGTGAGGGGGGAACTCAGAAGACGAGCTCAAACTCGTCAGCCTCAATGGGCTTGGACACCCAGGTTCCGAGGCCCGAGGCGCTGAAGGCCTCGCTGACCTTGGCCTTGGCTTCCTGGTACAAGCCGGCAGACTTCTTGGCGTCGGCGTAGAGCCGGGGCGGCTGTGCGGGGTCCTGAGACTCCATGGCCGCCACGCGGCCCCAGAGGCGGCAGAAGCGGGCGAAGAGGCTGCGCTTGGACAGCCGCGAGACCTGGCCGTCCTCCGCCTTGCCCGTGCTCGCGTTCACCACCTCGGGGCCCTCGCAGCCAACGGTCCAGTTGATACTGAAGTTTGGAGACTTGTTCACCTGCACAGGTGTGCACTCAATACTGGGGGAAAGGTGAGGGGTCCAGCCTCCGACTATAAAAATGCCTAGCGAATTGCCAAGCAATTGTGTTGCCTGTGAAACCTGAGCTTCTCGGCGTTGCCGCTACGCAGCACTGGTTTCGCTGGAGTCGCCAATAGCCTCAGCCCAGCTTGTTTATTGCACATGACGTGGTATCTAGGCTACAGGGCCAAATCAAAACAACCAAAATGGCGGCGACTAAGCTCGTGGCGCTATCGCGGCGGGTGAACTGAGAAAATCATGCAAATTATGTTTGAAATGTTGAGCAAAAAGCTTTATGGCGTCCCAAATTTCGGTCAATGTTATACATTAACTCTAAGGGTGAGTGACGGTTCCGCAAAAACGTCCGAATGATAGGCATTAGAAAAATCAGTCGGCGACTGTACATGACGTGGCACCCACCTGTCGCGACTCTGGGCTGCTGATGGCCCCGAGCAGGGGCCGGTGCAGCTGGAAGGGGCCCCCCTCGTCCAGGGCCAGCTGTGCCTCCAGGCGGCCCCACATGGCCCTCTGCATGTGCCCCGGGTGGTACAGGGAGCCCAGCACCACACTCTCCAGGTACACGGGCTCCATGAACAGGGACAGCAGCGAGCCCTGCAGCCCCAGCACGTTCCAGCGGGCCAGTTTGTCCGAGCACGACATGGTCAGCAGGCGCTGCTGGCCGTGCAGCACCCCGTCCCAGGTCTGCATCACGGGTCCCAGCCTGCGGGGGGCGCCACCGCGGTCTAACGGTGTTCCGGTACGCATTTGCTGCCTTCGGCTGTGCTCGAGGCAGGTCCCGATTAGGGCGCCTTACGTCCCAAACCAACCAATGGCGTCTGCAGCGACGCGACCGGCTCGTTTTGGAGCACCTTTCGGAGCAGCAGAAAGAACTTTTGGAGCAGAACTGTGAATATCGTTAACATTCAATCTACTAGGAATCTATCGTCACACTGCCAGCACTTCTACCACGAAAAACACTAGGTCTTTAATAACGAATTCACCGCCGGAAAATCCCTCGTTTGTGTCTTTTTCATAAAATACCGTATGTCATCAAAATGTTACCCTTCGTCATAAACTAATTACCCTACCTTTCTAAATTTCTGCTGACATTAATTATAGCCATAAGGTTGGTATTACAAATTTTAGAACTTTGTTTCGGTAAAACTAGTGCAAAGCCCTCCCGGGAGGTGAAAAGACGACGAGGGATTTCACATAAAAAGTAAGCCTAAAACAATACGTTCATATACCAACTTGGATATCTATCTACCCTCTTGGTACAGTACTCAAATATTCTTTTTAAATCTTAAACCTGCAGAAACCACCACGACCCAACCAATGGTGTCCGCAGCTATTCAAGACACCGCAATCGTGCTTAAGGGCAGACACTGCTCTTATGGCTATTTTCATTAATTTTTAGCTTACATAGTTGAAATTTTGATACATAGTGCTCTTTGATAAGCTGAAAGAAAATATCCAGTCACTTTTTGACTGGATATATAGACCGACACGCGGAGCGGCTTTGTTTACCAACACGGCCGGAAGGCCGCGCATGCGCGGCAGCTATGTGGGCAAAAGGGGCCCGGCTCTGTGTTTTCGCCATTCTGTCGTGTGGCGTGGGCTCGTTGTTGACGTTGTTAGGACGCTTCTAGCTGTATTTGTGCGTCGTATTTCCTGACAACGTATGTCGTATGCTATGCCCGACTATTTGCGCTCGCTACCCGAGCCTGAACGGCAGCGGTATCGAAACAAACTGCGTGGACGGCGTTGCCTGCGAGGATCCGTACGCCGCAAACAAGGTCTGCTGGACTTCCAACGTGAAGTTGCTGCCACCCAAGTCGACGACTCACGTTGTCGTTTATTTAGTTTTTTTCGCCAAGCCAGTTCACGGATGACACGGTGCAGACGCACAAGTCTCTCGAGGCGAGTCGGTTTCCGCACTGCCGGCGGGATCAGCCGGCCGTGGGTCCGCGGAAGTGTATTTATTAATTGATTAAAAACACACAGCGTCTTCAAGTCATGGTATGATATTTTTCCTGCCCTCATGACCACAAGGCATGACAAGCAGTAACGCTTTGTCCGTTATGCAGTCTTCGCGGTAACGCGTTACAAGTAACAGCGTTGCCAGGGGCGCGTTACTTTTTTTCAGTAACGTATACCTACTCGTGACTTTTTCGACACAGTAACGAGTAACGTACTACGTTACTATTTGAAGTAACGTAGTTACGTTACTCGTTGATACTTCCCAGGTCTTAAAGAAATTACACTTCAATTTTTTCCGTGTTTTTAGGTCTCAAGCCATGTAAATTTCTAAGTTTTCTGCGTTTTTCTTTGCGTTTTTTCTCGTGAGTATTTAGGTGAAACCGCAGAAAGAGATAAAGTAATTATGTTCCGTTTTGCATGAACATAATATTTCTTGATATATGAGCTTATGCATAGTTGTATCGTCAAAACAGTAAAACGTGTTAAATCATAATTTAAAAAGTAACGCAGAAGTAACGTGCCTTACTTTTTATGGGTAGTGGTAACGGGTTCCTTTTATTTTTAGTTAACGTAGCTCGGTAACGCTTACCTTTTATTTGCGATTAAGGAGTAACATATTTCGTTACTTTTTTTCCATAGCGCCTACAACACTGCCGTTCTGTCGCCGATCCTCTTCTGCTTAATAGCGCGGGCGCAGCGAGCCTCCGACGAGCGCTTGGCCGGTGCTTTTTGCGCGAACACCGTGGGAACAAAATCCGGGTGGTCTCGATCAGGCTACGGTTTCCCTGGATATCAGCAAGCCTTGGGACGGAGATTGAAATAAAAGCCGAACTTGCCTTCAAGAAAGTGCATGCCGCATAAAACGGTCGTTCGCACGAAGCGACCATTCTTTTTGATCCAGGAATATTACGCACCTTCTGTGCCTTTCAGAGTTCGCCGGAAGCTTGTGGAAACTCACTTCACTAATATTTCTGTACCTTTGGGGGCGATTAACGGCAACACAGCTTCGCGGCATGCTGAAAGGCTATTACGCCCATGCAAACCGGGCGCGCTTTTGCCCACACCACCTGGCTCCAGTGCGATCGCAGCGCCGCCGCAGCTCCGTGACGTCAAGCCCGCGTGTCGGTCTACATCTTATATATCTTAAAGGGCAACTCCACTCCACTTTTACAATTTTTGGGTTATGATCTGTTTAGTCGAAGCCGGTGACCCTGAATCACGAGATATAATTTGTTTTTCGGTAGTGTGTATAGTTTTGTAGATATCGCGAATGCAAGAATCGGTCCGGCGGCTCGGCGAAACCGAAACTACCGGTTGAAGCAGCTTGGCAACACTGATACTATTGGCGCGTCGTCGGCATGACCTAGTTCTAGTCCCGCGCTTCTGAGCCGACGCGCTGACGAGGTCGGCTCAGTCGCACGTGGAGTTTCAAAACAGAAGGTTAGATGCACATTTTCTTTTTTTACCGCTTCACTTTGCAAATATGCACCAAATATAGTAATTTTTAGTGTGTATTTATAAATTTGCCGGCCGAAAAGCGAATCCGACTGCTCTAAATATGACGCGGTCGGTGCCGGCGCAGCGTGACTGTATTTGTTTCTTGCGCGCGGACCGAGAAAACGAAATAATGGGAGATAAATGGACGGATCTATTCACAAGTGGTCTAAGTTGTTAAAGCCAAGGTGCCTTTATGTGCACGCTAGTTAGATCAGCCGCGACCTGCTGCGTCCGGCCGATCGTGCTGGAGCAACCGGCGAACGGTACGCAAACAGCGACGGCACCGCATCGTTCTTCAAAGACGCCTGTTTCGTGGTGAAACCCGCAGCAGTCAGCAGCCGCAGATCCCATGTGTGGATGTCTGACGTAAAGTGCTGGGAGCAGAGCTTCGCGTTGGAGCTGGGAGTCAACGGTCTTCCGAAGTCTATCCGGCGAACGGCACCGACCCACGCCTTGTGCCTCTCCCGGTCTCTTGGGAACTGGTGGAACCGCAGCTCCGGGTTGCGCACCGGGTTATTGGTGCAACCCACAGCACTACAGATCCTACTCGACATTGCCCAACGCGAGACCGGCGAATCTCTCCAGCTCCACGACGCGCGCGTGAGCGAGCAGCACCGCTTCGCTCTCTTCCGTGCTGTCGCGGAAGCAATGCTGAAATTAAAGGAACTGCGTAAACGCTAATAAAAATAGGAGAACACAGGATAATGTGGTAAACACCTCGTGCCGTCAGCAGAATCGCAGAATGCCACGGGAAACGAAGCGTTCGCGGCGTCCGTACGAGAGCGTAGGACTAGACCTACGTCATTGCCCAGTGTTGCTTCACTAGCTCACCCGGTGCCAGCGTTGCTCACCCGCTTTCGGGCCGCTAACCGAGCCGAGAGAACATTTTTAATATTGGTTTTAATTGGTAACGCGGCGTCGGTTTGACGTGATATTTTGGGTATGACCGTATTTTGACCTCCTAAAGCGATGTCAGTCATTTCGATAGGGTCGACTTTTTGAGTGGAGTTGCCCTTTAAGATAATGATGACATCATGGCAGGCCATTTTGCCCAACTTTTTTATAACTTCCTCTTTAATGACCTATATAAATTTTATGTGTACATCATCTAGAAAGACCGGAGAGTGCAACCATACCACCATTTTAATTTTAGCTTTATCAGAAAAAATATTGTGCTCTTATCTAGTAAGGCCTTGAAGAACAACAAACACATGATTAATTTAGCCGCTAATTAAAATATAATTTAACAAATAAATATTACATTCTCTTGGTATGGTTGCACTAACCAGTTCTTAAGCTTTCATATGCAACAAGAATCATGCAAATCAAACCAGTGCATCCAGAGATATTGTGGGCAACAGCCCGCATTGTGGCACGAAAAGTAGTTTCGAGAAAACAAGATAAGAAGTTTAAAACATGAAGACGCTTTATTTACACAGACGTAGGGGGGGCCAGCTGGTTTTGACTCTAGAAACCACCAGGCACATAGTCCTTTTCGTTTACACTGGTCCGCTTCCTTTTAATTGCGTGCTGAAAGTTCTCAGCCTGCTCATGCTTCTTGTCAGATGCAGCGAGCCGGCAGCGATCCTTCTCGCCGCACCTTTGAAGGCTGCTGCTGCCCACGTTGATGTTCAGCTCTCTCAAGATTGCCTCTGTCGCACACTCTTTTCCTGCATTGAACCTTATCACTGCCTCAGCCACGGCAGCTTCAACAGTGTACAAGGAGGCATGCCTGCTTTTTGACACCAGTGACCAAATTACAGCGTGCAGGCTCTCGTTCGAGTTCTGCGTCTTCCCTCGCTGGAAGCGTTCCAGCAGTTTCCTGTCGGAGAGACGCATGTACACTGGAAGCAAGGATTCTGCGACATTTTGTGGCAGGTTGTAGCGATGCTTGGGTGCAGGCTGCTTTTTTGCAGCAGCCTTGTTCTGCTTGCACCAGGAGTCTTGTCCCTTTGGGCAGAGCGAGTGGTTTGGCTGGGCATCGGTGGATGTCACATGGTTGTACGTAGCCAGAACAGCGTTCTGCAACCCATCAATGTCGCCCTGGTGTCCCTTCAGTGCCCAGCCGTAGTACATCGTGAGCTTCACGATAAGCTCACTCGTTAGCTTCCCTTTGCCACCAAGGCTTGGCCTGCCCTCTCCCTTCTGTTTTTGGACGAGGTTTCGGAGAGCAGTACCCAATCGCTTGCTCACATGATTTATGAAGTCCTCTTTTTCAATGGGCACAAAACCATACACTTTGTCCGCTTGGAGGTTGTTGAAATCCCGGCTATCACCATCGCTCAGCATGGTGGTGTAGTGGAGTCGATGCTTGTTCCACGAACGACCGAAGAGGACTGCGGCAGCTTCGACTTCTATCTGGCCAGGCTTACTTGAGCTGTTCATTTGGCACCTGTGGCCAGCTCGCCACTGTTCATGCCCAGGGTCACCTTCTTTTGGGCCAAGCTCGCAACCCAAGCAAAAGTTCGAAAGCACGACAAAATCGAGCACATAGCCTGTGAATAGCTCTATAACAGTTCCCACACAGATGTGTGATGAATGGCCCCTAGTCAGCCACGACCCATCAAAGGAGACCACTATATTTCCGGGATTTCCGAAGTCCAAATCGGAGTACGGTATAGACCACTTACAGCGTAACCGCTTATAGTGCAGGACCGGGTATAATGCGGCTTTTTTAAACCACCGGTTCGCCTCCCATAGAACTCCATGTAATTACATACCGCTTAAAATGCAGGCGCGTGAAGGGAAATACTGGTCATAGTGCAGTTTCGAACAGCCCGCCAACCGCGCCAACCAACGCCGACCGACGCAAGCGGCACTCGCGGAGCAAGGAGGTTGCTCGAAGAAGCGGGGAGAAGCGAAGAGAGAGGCTTCAGTTGCCATAGCGACGGAGGGAGGCACGCACGTGTCATTCACGTGCGTGCGTCCCTCCGCTGCATTGGAAACAACCGCAACGACAGACCAATCGCAGGTCGAGGAGAAGTGTTCGCGCGCGTTGCATGCCGGTCGCGGGCCGGCTGCTTCTATCCGCAAACATGGCGTCGGTTGTGATCGTCAACGTAGACGCTGTGGTGGACGCTCATCGTTCCCCGCAAAAGCGCTATACTTGACTGTGAATTTTCGTTGTGTGTCGCTATGATAACCCAGCACATACTAGGAGGAAAGATCCACCTATTCGTGCGGCGATGTTGGCGGCACTCTCAAGACGGCAGAAAAGCCGTGTCGTCGTGTTTGTTTACTTCGACTACAGTGGTGCTTTCTAAGCATTTGTGTTTTCGAACATCGCCCGGATTTCTTATTTGGAGCATTTCATGCCTGTGCTCAAGTTGAAGGTATTACTGGCGCGTACCGTAGAAGGGATGAGAATTTTCATGCGTTTTCATTGCCGGAGGAAAGTGATTAAAGTTAGCAATCCTGAATGCTCGCAACGTCCGTCCGCAACCCGCGACGCCAATAAAAGGCTGCGCCAGGCAAAAGTCGCTCATTTCTTTCAAAATGTGTGACACACTTGAGAGAGAGGTGTACTAGTCTGGTGAAATAAAGACTTTCCTCAAACTAAGCTTTATTTTTCATCTAACATAAAGTAAATTGTTTTACAAAGGTAAGTTGTCTCATGGCATGTATTTTGGCCTGAAAAATTGATGTTTTGGTTATAGCGCGGTACCGCTTATAGTGCGGATTTTCGCGACTTCCGCAACATACATTATATGCGGTCTACACTGTATAGCGCTTTCACTGCGTCCACGCACTCGCCGATTACGTGTGCAGCAGCCCTCCGAGCGGCAGGGTTGAGCTTGTTCTTAACGTAGTTCTGGTACGTCTTCGTGTGCATGCCTCGCTTAGAAATGTTCAGGGCGGCACAAAGGTCATTGAGTACTGTCTGTCCGTTCCCCGTACTGGGAACAGCACGAGTCGCGAGCACGTTCACCTCGAAGAAATTGCAGCTTGCGTCCCCGTCTACTCTCGGCGAGCTCCAAGTGCTATCCACTTCTCCGCATGCATCACAATTCAAGATCAGTTTCACGGCAATTCCATATTCTCGGCCTCCTTTTGAGATGTTTACCGAGCTGCCGCAGAGTTAGCATTTCACACGCCGAAGCAGCTCGTTCAAAGCAGAAAGGCTTAGCATGGCGAACAATGTTCCCATTGCCGTCGTTTCAGCATCTTCTGTTTTTTCTCCCAAAAAGGACTGCTTCCGTCGAGTGGCGGACATTTGAGAAAGCTTCTGCTCTGTATCTCTCACGTGAGACTCGATTTCTGCCTTTTTGCGCGTCGAAAAGAAGCAGAGCGTCCACACGCGTCATTTCGGCCGTAGGTATCACATGCGCGATCGCATCGTCTGTGGGTGCGCTCGCGTTGCTCGCCGTGTCGTTTGCCTCCGCTGCAGGTGGATCTGACAAAACCTCGCGTGGCAGAGGCCGACGTTTTTTCTTGCCGAAGGGATGCGCACTTCGAACCTTTCGATGACCACCAGGCATCGTAGCAGCGATACGCAGCAATGCGCACGCAGATGCGTCCAAGATGGCGGTGCGTTTCGCTTTTGTCTAGCAGCCGAATTTTCGTCGCATCCAATCAGAGGAGAGGATTCACCACACGTGACTCAAAAGCCCCAATGGTGTGCGAGTATTCTTATTTTTGTTTCTTTCAGATTACCACTGTTGTCGGGCTGACAATATTCATTCCGCTAAAAAACGTAAAGCGCGAAAGTGCGGCTTTCAAAAGAGACTAAAATGGCTGTGCTACGCAGCGTGGTTCTTGCTTGGCGTGGTGTTGAATTTGACTGTTCTTGACAAAATTTTGTGAGCAAAAACAACAATGTACTTGACGTTGAAGTCTTAAACGGTAAGTAACCTGCACCAAAGTTACAAATCAACCCAAATAAGCACCATCCTACTGAAAGATCTGGGAATTTACTGAAACCTGAATTATTAGAAGGCAGTCGAGAACCAAAATGAACTCTTGGTGCTGCACTAGGGCGAATTCGTCACATTTTGGTGAATTGCAGAAGTATGTAGCAGGGTGAGCCCATTGGCAAAGCTTAAAACAGCAATCGCATCGCTGGCATCCGGCACACCTCAGCTGAGAACGGCGGTGCTATGGGAACACACCCAGTCTGGGGTGTGGAAAAGAAACGCCATGCGGGCTGGGCATCGCTATGTTGGTTTAGTAGTCACCTGCTTTTTTTTCAAGATCCCCAACGTTTTGTAGATTGCGGCTGCACCGAAAGAACTGGGGAAAGTGTCAAGATTAATTTTCACATATTTCCTGCCCGCCCCATCTGTCCAAGAACGTGAACAGACGTTGTGAAAGGAGAAAACTAGACTCGTTCAGACCACGATCGCCTGGGCGGGAGGCACATTGGTTTGGGGTAAATTTACGAACACTTGTGAGATTTAATTATGTCATTTATGAAGAGTTAAGTGTATAAATTATGCACTTGTGCAATAACACTCAAAGTACAAAAGAAAGCAATAGAAAAGACATTTCCCCAGAAGGACTCGAACCCAGAGGTTCGCGATTCCTGCCGCCAGAGAGCAACACCCTGGACCACTCGGCCGCCATGCATACCCTATTTCAGGTTATCCACGATTGCATATAAACACAGTCGCCGACCGACTATTCGGACTTCGCAGGGACCGAAAAAACGTCCAAATAATAGTGCAGTTCGAAAAATGAGAAAAAACTTGCCTTTATTACTTCCAAGTGGGCTTAAAAAAGCCGTAAATAGTGCCTTCCTTCAGGATACGCCTCCGTTTGCGTTCGGCAACTTTCTGTTTGCTTGAGAATCGCTGCCTTCTTTTCTAGCGCTATGGTGAAGTACTTTCTGCGCTTCTTAATGACACATTGCGGCGGCGGGAGTAGCGCTGCCAAACCAAGCCAATCCATTTGCAGCCAACATAGAATTCAAAATGGCCGCTTCTCGGCGGTGCATCCCACTGATCGCTTGCGACGATTTTGCCCGAATAATCAAACTTTCGGACTTTAAACTGTTCGAATGGGGTAAGTTACGGTTCCTCCACTAGGTGCGAAATATTGAACAAGTTTGAATTAATGGAGTCCAAAAAACGATCGGCGACTCCATCTTTTGTCCATGAAGGCCTATGAACCATCTGTTTTTCTTAAGTTTTCATTTATTACGACCTTTCTGGGCAAAGACTTTATGCATTGCTCCTCAAGTAAACAAAAATTAATTTAGCTCATATTCGTAGGCTCTTTGTCACACATCCATGAGCAAAATTGCAGTCTTGTGACCAAAGCGAGGACGCATTTTGCGCATGCTGTTTGACAATTGTATTGGAACGTGGCTCCACCGATTGGAGACACACCTACAGTTCCCTAAAATTCTATTGTTTCATTGCGTTTCAGCCAGGCACTCCCATCGTCGTCGAATGTGAAACGCTGAATAAACCAGGGATGCAAATTGTCGCGGATAGAAAAGGATCTACGAGTGTGAATCTGGAAAAGGTTTAATCGGCGAGCTTGCACCAGAAACAAAAGAGAGAATGGCCGTCGATGAAACAGTGGCAAGCGTGGAGATGTTGGTGTCGGCGCGATAGCTGGCTAGTACGAGAGCGAGCGGGCAAGGCCATGCCGGGCTCATCTATTACGCCCGGCATCTCGAACATTCCACCTAGAACGATCGAGCATCGAACACTCGGGGGAGAGTCGGCAAGGTCATGTTGGGCACCTGATCTATCACGCTAGAGGTAAGAGTAAACACGAATCTCCTGGAAGAACTGAAAAGCGTTCCCCCCCGGTCATGCACCCGGCAATATTTGGGGTTCCAATTTATGAGATGCCACACGCAGAGGCCGCCCACCTGAGGGGAATGGTGCCCTCCCCGGCCTCGATCTTGGTGCGCAGCAGGCCTCGCACCCGGCGGTTGGGGTGCCTGTCGGCTGGGAGTGGCTCGGCGCTGTCCAGCAGCTCGTGGGGCGAGAAGATGCGGCCGTCCCCGCACGGGGATGTGCTGATGTACAGGTGGAACCTGCAACGGTTCGGCTCCGTGTCAGCAACGCACTTCGCGCGACGAGTACGGAGGAAGAGAGGTAGGCCGCTCCGAGCCAGCAACCTCTGCCACCTCCGAACGGCGGAGCACTGATGCAGGCGTTGCTCATCACACTGGGCCCAGATTGCTAGCAAGAAATTAAAGGGACGGTGCAATCATTTTTGGGCCTTGGCGGATTAATTGTAGCAATTAGCCTCTGTCACCTAACGAATGAAGAATAGAAAATCATTTTTTCTTGCATGCGCTAGTTTTAAGTTTTCTTGAAGGATGCCGCGACAGGTAGCACCATGCAGCGGACAATGCTCCGCTTGCTGGCACTTTTGCTGCGTGGTTGCCACTGTTAAGGCGTTCTTCTGGCTGTTCTTTTCCCCTCCAATGCCTCGCTAGCCCCGCTACAGCGTGAAAGCTGCCGTGCTGGACGAGCGTGGCTCCTATTTACTGCCTTAGCTTTTAAAAGACACATGCAAAGGAAAAAAACTTTTTTTTTAAACAGGCTAGATGGAAAAAGAATATTACAAAACAAATTTACAATAAAAAAAAAAAAAAATGTAGAGCTATTCGCGTCTCCAGCTCGACGCTCACCCTCCCGCAGCGGAAACGGGGAGCGCTCTAGTGAGGGTCCCACGATTCCCCTGCTCGGCGGGCACGGCGGAACTGCTCGCGAAATGTCATTTCCGAATGCAAACAACACTCTTCACTATCCCAACATAGTGCTGCAGCCGGCATAGGATTGTACCTTACTAGAGAGTTGTCGTATTGCGCGTGGAATGAGCACAGAAGCAAATGCAAACGATGTGCCTTTGCGTGCCCCTCGTTGTGCGTGCGCCTCATCGCCATGCGCCATCCAAGATCGCAATTTTGGGCTCCGCGCAAGCGCAGTGTAGAACACACAAAGCCAACGCAAACACCCCCCCCCAGCATTTGCGTTCTCTCGTATACGCAATACTAAAACTCGCTCCTGTTTCACCGGCTTCCAACGCCAATGCAACATGCTGCAGTGAGCAGACGTGCAAGCAGGTAGGCTTTCCTTCGAACTGGAATGGTTGAGATTGGCAAAACGACGGAGCGTAAAAATGAAAGTAACTAAATGTTATAAAAAAATTAATAATTAAAAAAAGTTTTTTTTTTTTGTTTTTTTTATTTGGTCTGGAAGGATATTGACGGTGACTTTGGACGTTTTGCTGATTGTCAAAAGTTGCGACTTTGATAGCACAATAAAAATATACCTTACCCACAATAAACGTAATTTTACATGGATTTCTCACATTAGCTAGAATGTTTTTATTGATTTTAGCCTTTTTTAATTTTATTACTTGGTAATTAAAAATGCTGCAACTTTTGATCGTCATATTTGTTCGCACGTTTGAAATTAGATCATAAGCTGCAAATTATATTAGAGCTTGAAAAATGATGTATTAAAATATCTGAAATTTAATATTATTATTAATACAAATCGCGGCAATGTATGCCCCCAATTAACGGCAAGATCACAAAAATACGCCATTTAACCTTAATAGTCTTACCAGAAAGGTATAATTTTGTTTTCTTTTTTGTGTATGAAATATTCTGACATCGCTATCAAGATAGATAGACAAACAGTCAAACACTGTATGTAATAAAGTCCTATGCGTCACGCGTTGCTATAAAAAGAAACACACACACTTCAACGGTCTGACTCGAATTCTATCTTTGGGTTGTTGCAGTGAGGACAGCGTTCATTAATTTATACATTTTGTGGACATATTGTAAAAATTGGAATTATTCTCTTATTCTTGTGCTTGAAATAATGTTAAACCAATTAATCATCTAAATACCCCTAAACCCATTAAAAGGCTCGCAGTTTATTATTTACCATGACTATTATCCAAGCGAGAAAAGGCAGCGAGTACGCACAAATATCAGTACTGATTTTTTCAGCTACTAGAATTACAACTACAAACATCAGCCGGAATAAAACACGTATGTCACAAAAATTAAGTTTCCGCAAACAACTTTTCTAACTAGATAATTACGATATAAGACACATCTTGAGTAGTGAAAGAATCCGAAATTAAGACCCATGTCAAGAAATTTAATCCAAAATAGAGGTTAGTTTCGGTTTCGCTCCAGAATTAAAATGTGCATCCTTGTGTAAATATTATGCTTACACTGTTCTTGTTTTCAGGATAAAGAGGTGACCTGCGCTTATAACACCCTAGCTTCTTTGTATTACCAAAAATAATTTGTGTCGCTCGCTGAAGCCAGCACACTAGACAGGCTCAACAGCGGCATGCATCTCCGACCCTCACTATAACTGCCATTTTGGAAAATCAGTGGCGCCCCTATAGTTAGTTAAAGTCGCAAATATTTACGACGTAAAACGAATTTAAAGAGGTGCCAGCGGGACCCGCTGCTGGTCACGTGGTAGTCCTGTGCATCGCCGCGCTGCGTCGTTACCGCCGCACGCTGAGCGTTGTGCAACGCCGCTTCAACGCGTTTCTCCACGCCACCGTCGTTGCACAAGTTCGTCTGCTTCGGGGCGCCGCCGCCGTCATCTGATCGGTGCACAGGTCTATCACGTCTGCTTGCGCTTTTTCAGGAGTTTCCTTTGAGCTCTAAGAGATATTTATTAATCTTAGTTTTTTGTTATACTTCAAACAAAGATGAACAAGTTACTTTTAGAGGCCATAGGAAGCTTCCGAAAGGGCGCAAGCACCATGTGACAAATATGTACCAGTCATGTGATAAATAAAAGCCACTTTTCCGTGGCGCCCGTGGGCGCCAACTGCAAATTCGTATAGCGCCATAAATATAGCTCTAAAAATTTTTCTTCGTTGTAAAATCGTTTTATGACATCCGTTTTCCATCTAAGCTGTTTAAAAAAATGTTTTTTTCCTTTGCATGTGTTTTTTAAGGCACCCAATCAATGTACCCTTCCCACAGAATAATAAGCATACACTAAGCAAGAGTAACCCTTCACGCATCTTCATCGCAACTCCGGCAGTATGGCGGGAATGTCCACACCTCGGCACCGCATTGTATCGCTTCGCCGACTTTCAAACGGGGCTTGTAACACCACTGCGTCTCTCCGACATTCTCAAAACTTTCTATCCTCAAGGGCTAATGGCGCAATAGCTTTTGTGGCTGCCACAATATCGCCAAGGCAAATACCGAAACTCAAATTTTGCTAGCGACTACGGATCAAACTTTCTCGGAAAAGTCAGACCAGAGAACTTCCCCGAACTGCTCGATGCATTCTGCCACTTTCCCACGCATCGGTTTGAGCCGTTCGGCGAGTGCTCCCTTGGCTCCAGATCTACCAGCGGCACATGGAAAGACAGCTCGCATCTCACGAGGGGCACGGGAATCCGCTTGGCGAGTATGCGCTGAGCGATCGCTATTTGAGAGGCGAAGGGCCTAATAGTCACTAAATTATTGATCTAGCTGCCACGCAACTGTTTCGTTCGAGGCCAACGCTGTGCTCCGCTTACATTTCTGCAGTAGCCCAGCACGAATGTCGGCACGAGACTTGCGGCAGTTCGCCGGCCATTAAAAATAAAATAAAACAAAAAACGTGCGAGCAGATGAGACTATTTCCCAAAGGCTTAATTTAAGTCTTTTAGTTTTAAATTAAACAGTCACCAGCGCTGCAGGTCTGGATCGGCATGTAACTGCTGTGGCATAAACACGCCACATTCAGATTTATTTCCTCTTAGTCTGGTTCGTGCACACTGGTTCAGCACTTAGTTCACATCTATCTCCATTATTTGCACAGCCCATGACAGTGCAACACTGTTCGGCCAATTCCAAACTGGTATTTGACAGGGTACAAGAAACAAGCTATTAAATTTGTAATACGGCAGTCAATATTTACGGAAAAGCACGCATCCTTAAGCTGCATAAATGTCAACTTGGCCGTTTCCAAGAATCCCGTCAGAGAAGCAGGCAACATTTTGAGGAAAAGGATAAGCGTCACGTCGGTCCAAGAGTTTTCTTTCTGATGGAATGGTCTATAGTTCAGCCATGTGTACTGATACGTTGAGCCGATATTGAGGGAAACCAACAGCCACGAAACAAAAGCGGCAAAAGACTCAAACCACGCGTAAAGTCCTGTTTGCTCCTCCTTGCCCCCTGCAACATCTACAATGTAACACAAAAAAAAGAAAAAAGAAAAAAAGAGGGTGAGAAACGAAGGAGGTAACGCAGTTTGTCACCCACTTTGCTTCCTTCGTTGTCTGCTGCATTGAGTTCTGAACAAAGTTATCCCTGTATTCCTATCGACGCTGCATGTTATGCAAAAGGTCTATTAACTCGATGCCCCCAATTGGCACGATCCAGCGCCCCGCTGAATGCCCTCCGAGACTCACTTGATGCCCGGCTTGATGCGGAAGCCCCTGCCGCCCTGGCGCTCCTCGAGCACGCTCTCCTGGCCCCGGCCTTTCTGCCAGAGCTCCAGCTGGCCGTAAAGGAAGTCCTTGAAGCAGCGCCTGGACACCACCTCGGCGTGGCAGTCCTGGAGCACTGCCCCGTTCATGCTGATGTACTCTCCGTTGATGCACTTGGTGCCGGTGGCCACCGTCACCACCTTCACCTCCCCGTCCTCCAGATCTCCCTGGGTCATCACTATGCCAGCCAGCACCTTCCACTTGGCACTCTCCGCCCGGTCCGCCATCACCTGCAATGGTCGGTCGCACATTCTTCGTTAGTTAAAACATGCAACAAACAAAGGAGCCACAAAAAAAAAAAAAGAAAAAAAGGAAAAGACAAACTTTTGTTATGATGTATGGAACGCATCTTTGATCGTCTTGTTTAGCGTCCCATACCGGCCACATATTAAAAGTGGTCCCTAAGGGGGGGGGAATCGGTGGAGGAGTGCGTCAGCGCACACCAGCTCGGAGCATGTGGAGCGAAAGCTCGCATTGCAACATCCAGGGATCCTGGGTTCAATCCCCACCCCTACCCGTTTCGACTCAGACGACAGTCGTGTGGTCGCGTATCGCTACTGCGTGGTGCACGCTGAAGACCCCGGATTAACAGTAGTACAGCACTGGCTAACCGTTCTCACCTACAGCGTAAACCAGTGATGCCGCAATTCAAAAGGCAGACCGAGCTTGCGCCGTACAAACACAAATGACAAAATTGGTTGTTTTATTTTTGGTCTGGAAGTGTCAACAAACTGTGCCACAGGAGCCAGCCCGTTGTGCCGTCGGCATCCTGCCACATGGTTGTTGCCCGTAGTAGGCAAACAGAAACGAGGGAAGGCGAGCGTCACCGTTTGTCACAGCGTCGCATCTTGCCGTTGCAGAGGGTTCCGAGAACCGTTGAGCAGAAGGCGAGTTACGGCAGAATGTGCATCTGCAACATCCAACCCCAGGCAATGGCTTGATGCTTTTACGACGACACCGGGCAAAAACTGAGAGACTATGCGTTGGGACGCCTTAGACGCACCCATCCAAACGCATTCCAAGTACCACGTTTCCATATTTGTGGAATGAACCATCTCGGAAGGCAGAGCGCTCCGCCCCTCTATGGCGGGGTTCTCAAAGCACAACCTCCAGGGACACTCATCTCTCTCGATCAACGACCGAGGAACCACTCCTGGATTTGGCACCGGTGCAACGAAGTGGTGCAGAAGGCCGCAGACCTCTTATAACGTAATGTACACACTAGAGTGTGTTTGGCATGCAGTTATGCATCGGTGGGTGGCTCGGATCTTCTCAAACAGCGCTTAAAGGAATGCTGAACTGAAATTTGGAGCTCACAAAACAGGGATGGAGCGATAAGCGGGAGGTGGCAAAACCCAAAAACATCACTCGTCAGTGATATGTTTAACGATGTCCATATTTTCGGAAAAGTGTGCGATTGAACACCGCCAACGAGGCTGACGAGACGTGTGACATCGCGATTCTCATTCCCTCTCCTCTTCACTTTGTCCCGCCGAGCAGGTGAACCGACGCGAGGCGGAGAAAAGCAAGGCCGCTTCCCCTCATTCTCAACTGTTCGAGGAGAATCATGACGTCACATTCCTCGCTTGATCACACCCTTCTTTTACAAAAAAATATGGTAATCCTTTTTGATGTATCAGTGATGTTTTGGAGTTTATCGTGTCTTGTTCAAAGCTTGTGCGGCCTTATTTTGCGAAATTCAAATTCCGGTTCAGTACCTTTTTAAGGGTGACACGGGCCTACAATGCGCATTTTTCAACAAAAAAATGTGTTTTTAAAATGTTGCAGTTTTGGCACCTCAGACTATTATTGAGCAATGTGGCGGAATTTGGTAAACTTCCATGTCGTAATTACCCAGAAGACAATTTTCAGGGCCTCCGCAGTGCTCCGAGGTGCGTCGCGCTTGCGAAAGACGCGAGGAAAGCACCATTTTTCCGATTTTCGGTGTGGTACAGCGCTGCGCCTGTGAGGTCTAGCGTGGTATTTTCGTACCCTCATTGGAAAGGTCGTTTCTAGTTCTTTTTTTTTTTTTTAAATAGTAAACACGAGTCGACGGTATGTGAGCATGGGAAGAACCCTGTCGTAAAAACTTCTTCCACGGAAAGAATAATAGGGAATTTGATGGAACTCGTCTTCTTATTGGCGGGAAAACTGAAACTAGAGCCACAACTGATCTTTCGCGGCGGTCACACTTCAGACCACGTTTTATTGTCGTATCTGCTAAATCTCGCTGTTTCGCTGCAATGTCATATCGTCTTTCGTCCCAAAAATGTAGCTGAGAAAAGCCTACATTCACGGAAGCTTCGGTGAGTGTTCTTGGTTTACGCAATCGAGAGGCACAGTGAGTGGACAACGTTCTAAAGCTCATGACGCAGTCCCATTGCACCTGTCACTGTCTCCGGAGGCCTTTCCTTCTATGCCGCATCCCGAAAGTGGTTCAGCATAGAAGGAAACGGATGAGTTGACGACCTTCGAAAGGAAGATCACGATTTTGGCCCGACCTGCCAAAACCAGCTGACGACGTTCGCGACGAGATGCTCGACAGGTATTGCTTCGTGGATGTGTATGCCATGAAGACATTGGTGAGTGCCTTGCTGTGTCCCAACTACTGTGGAAATTAACTGGATTTGAAGAAAAGTGACGTTGGAGCCAATCTTCACTTTGTTGTCGTGTGCGGAGCTTGCGGGGACATTGTGACAATGTCAGTCGGCGGTTGTCAGTAAGACCCGGCAGAGCAACTTCCCGCACACTTTTGTGTTGTCAGAAAATTCTGCGGCATCAGCTTCACAAAGCTGAAGAACCTTTTCGGTGGCATGAATGCTCAATCGCCGATCCATCTAAAGACCTATCAGAAGACTGCAGAGAAGGTGCATGAAGCATCCGTGGCAGCAGCACGCGATGCAGGAGGCAGCGATTGCAGTGAGAGGAGTTCAGGTGTCCGAGGATGGAGAAGGCCACGTCAACGATGCAGATGACTTGCCCGACGTCTGCGTCAGTTACAACGGTACTTGGCAGAAGCGCGGCCACACGTCGAATTTCGGTGTTAGCGCAGTCATTGAAGTGACAACCGGTTTGGTGCTCGACTTCTCCGTTCACAGCAATTGCTGTCACGGATGCAACCTGGGCCCAAAAGAGGACGCTGAAGGCTACCAGGCCGGGATGCCTCATAAAGACCTTTGTCCGAAGAACTTCAGAGGATCAAAAAATGCTACGGAGGTTGTGGCTGGAGGAGTCATCTTCAGCAAATCTTTGGAGCTCCACAAGCTGCAGTATGTCACCGTACTAAGTTATGGTGACAGTAAAGAGTTTACACACATTGCTGGTTTTGGCCTCTATGACAAGGACATCTAGAAGGAAGACTGTGTCAATGCGACCAAGAGGATGTACAGTGGCATGGAAAAGTTGAAGAGCGAAAAAGGCCTTGGAGGGAAGAGGAAGTTGACTAACGTCATGATGAGAAAGCTAACAAACTATTATGCGACTGCTCTGAAAGACAACGCTCCTGACGTCAGAAAAATGCAGAAAGGCATTTACACAAGTCTCTTGCACTTTTACTTTACCGATGAAGCACCACAGCATGTGGTTTGCCCTAGCAGAGAAGACTTGTGGTGCCACTACAACCGTCAAAACACACTGGTTGCTACCGAGAAGCGTCTGTGTCACACCCACATCGCCCAGCCTTTGCAAGGGACATTGCAAAGGAGTTGGTACTTCTTTCTACAACTGGCCATCCCATCAGACCCTGCTTCAAAGGTGCTGCAGAATGAAAACTTAGAAGAGTCATTCAACGCACTCATCGGGAAGAGATGCCCCAAGACGAGATTCGCATCGCCCAGGACAGTGAAGACTGCTGTGGCCATGGCTGTTCTCAAATACAACTTGGGGCCTAAGGGCTATGAAAGGATCCCCAAGAAGATGGGCATGTGCCCCCGAAGCCACAACGAGGAACCCACCAGGGCCGGTTTTCTCGAAGCGATGGTAAACCCATTTTGGTAAACCACGGTGCCTAGGAAGGGAAAAGTACCTAGGTACTGTAATAAACGGCTGGATATAGAACAACAATAATTATTTTTGATTAAGCAGTAAGATGCGCCATCTATCGGTGAAACAAGCCAGTCATTTTGTTTATCCTCTTTTTCCGCTGGTTGTTATCGATCTAGTGTGGCATTTTAAGTCAAAATATAGTAATGTTGTACTTGAAGACCACTTTATTTGCTTCAGATGGTACGAAAAATTTTTAGCTACTATGCTAGAGTTTGTCGACAAATATTCGAAAATGTAAGAAACATTTCTGTTAATATGTTTCGCCATAAACAACGCATAACTTTCCCGCGTGCCTTCCAGTCTCGCAACGCCGGTACCGTAGTCTCGTCTTTGTTCCTTGCGACGCACGTTTCTGCGATTCCTGCTGATCTCAATTGTTTGCCCTCTCTTCCATATGCCCAACCGATCCACCGGTGACGAGAAGCTAAGCTTCTCGTCACCATTGAATTGCTGGCCACTGGGGATACGTAGAAACCTCGATGATGTCGGCATACTGTCGGCGCACCGCGAACAAAAAAACAGTACAATGTCCTAGCTGTTCACTTGGAACGAAGACTTTATTGAGAATAACTCCCTTTCTCCGCAAAGTAATCGCTGCTCACGAGTTGGCGTGCATAGTGTAACAAATTAAACGGGTTAGTATAAATATTTACCAACACTCGTTTGCAAAACATTTTTTTACTCGCCATAAAAACAGTTGCAAGGCTTATGCACAGTCATATGTCTTGGATCCCGGACTGCTGAAGAGTGATGCGTTCGCGGAATGCTGCCGTCGGTTAGTTTAGTAGTCCCTCTGAACTATCGCATTGCTTGACGTGCTAATAGGCTGATGATGTATCATTAATATAACAGCCGGATCGAAATGAATGTTCAGCAGAACCAAGCAGAACTATTAGCCCTCATTAAGCGATGCCGCGGCCATTTTGCTTGTAGGTACTGCTCCTCTCTCAGCGCCCCTGCTCTGCCCAGTCATGTGACCTAGATAGAATTCCCCCTTCTAGGGACAATAGTTCACTTTAACCCACGGTTTGCGTTCCAAGAAAACGGGCACAGGAAAGCAACCCAGCAGAAGATCCTGAAGGCCAAGTTGAAGGCACAGGACAGCTCTAAGATCGCCCAGAAACGTCGCAAGCTTGGAGCCATCACAAATGAGCAGAAGAGGATTGAAGAAGGACCAGCATATGGA